ACACAAGCAGCACAAATGGCCCGGAACCTCCACTGAGACTAGAACTGTCGACAAAGGGAAGACGGAACGTGCAGTTTCATCCTCACTGTCTTGAATGCTTAATAAAACGACAGAAAAAGAGAAATGCACATCCTGCAGAGGATTTCAATGGAAACCAGAGTCTCAACATGATGAGTGAACTGTCGGGATTCCATCCAAAATTACACAACAGAACACGAGGAATGAGAACGTCTGACCGCTCCTCCGGGGAACAGACGATCACCAGATCCAGCCCTGCAGTAACCTCTATGAAGGAATTCGCAGACAAAGCAGCTCTTACAACCATGCTCAATGTAGCAAGGGTGAATATTCTTGAGATTCATGGAAAGAAACACGTTCTCAGCAGAGAAATAGAATGTATGCACTAGGGGCCTGAGGGCTCAGCGCCTGTGCAGTGGGCAGGTCAGTTGTTACGATGTGCCCATTTTACAGGTGGGAAAGTCAAGGCTCGGAGAGAGGGTGTACCTGATAGAACCGAAGGAGCCCCACTGGGGTCCACTACAGACAGCCGTGTCCGGGCCTGCTGTGCTGGGTCGTGGCTCACTGCTCACCCTCGCAGCCTGGTGCCCAAGGTCAGCAGGCCTCATGACCCCTGTTCTGATGCCCCCACGGGCGGCTCCTGGTGGGGGGCAGAGATGCCAGTCCAAGTGGGAAGGACTGGGAAGGCCACAAGGAGGAGGGGCCTTGGGGCGGCCTTGAACCATGTGGAGCAACAAGCTGCTCCTGCTCTGCAGCACTTCCTCAAAACCACAGCTGACAGATGAGGAAACTGAGGCTGAGAGAGGAGGATGGCAGCCCGAGCAGCTTAGCCCACCAGTGGTCAGATGCTAGGTACCCCAAGGTGCAGTAGGGGCCACCTACCACTCAGCCCAGTGATGGAGGGGCCTGCTGCTGGGCTGAGCCCTGGAGGAGAGGCCAGCGGGCGGGGGTCCAGCCTGAGCCCTGGCTCCAGGGGGAAGGTGCCTGCCCAGAACCCCGTCCCACCCCTCATGGAGCAGAGAGGGGAGGACATAGCAGGCAGTGGAAGGGTGGGGCTGGATGCCAGGCCTTCCAGCTCCTGCTCAAGGTGCTGGGCCACCTGGCAGCTCAGGCTGGGTGTGCAGCGCAGAGGAAGTGAAGTCACTGTGGGGCGGGTGGAGCAGGGGACACCTGGGCCCGGGGCTCGGGCCAGGACTCGGGGCCCAGGGGCTGTGGAGGCACCTCCTCCCGTGATGCGCCGCCGCACCTGGGGGCGCAGTGGCACAGGCCTCTTTGTGTCCTTGTCGCAATGGAGCCCGCCGGAGGGGGCGGTGGGCGGTGCCGAATCCTGCAGGGCCCGGGCTTTGTCGCCCCCTCGCAGGCCCCTCCCAGGCGGAGCGGGTTTCCGCGGCGCCGGCAAATCCCCGGAAACCGGCGGGGCGGGGCCGGGGCGGCGTGATGGGGCCCCGAGGGTCTGGAGGCCGCATCCTCAGATGCCCCTCGCGCCGGCCCCGGATACCCAGGCCCCGGGAGCGGGGGAGGCATTTTCTGGGGGCCCGGGTCGGGGAGGCGGCCCTGCCGTTTCTGCGCGGTGGGCGCAGAAGAGCCCTCGGCTCCCGGGACGGGGCGCAGACGCGGTGGGCGTCCTGGCCACCCGGCTCCGCTGTGTTGATTATTTTTAGTGTGAGCTGCCCTCCTCCCTGCTTCCTGCTGAGTGCCCGGGGCAAATCCCCGCCCGCTCTGGCCTCAGTTTCCCCATCTGCAGAGCGAGAGGCCCTGGCCTGTGGAAGGAGCGCGGGGACGTGGGCGCCCACGGCGAGGGCGGGGATCACTCCCCACGAGTGACCTCGGGCCCCACAGGCCCTGAGCAGCTCGTGGGTATGGGCAGGTCACCCCTCCTCCCTGCCCCCGACTTCGGCCTTCTCACCCAGGAAGCCTAGACCAGGAGAGACTCCACCGCGGGAAGTCCAGGGCTGGAAGAGTCAGGGGGTGTTCTTTCGACACTCCCCCAACTCACGTGTGGTTGGCGGCCTGTTGGGGCTAGGCGGGCAGGGGTCCCCATCCCGCAGGGTCTGCCGTGAACTCGGAGCTCTGAGAAAGGCCGGCTCCGACTTCCAGCAGGTGGGAGGGATTTTGCGGGCAGGTTGTCACGGGCACATGCTTGACCTTGTGGAGTCTCAGGGACTCCTCCGTAAAGGAGGCTGAAGCCCCCCACGTGAGGGTCATGGGAGCATCAGCGATCAGCACCAGACCGCCACAAATAATCACATCCTCAGCTTGCACATACTCGACGTTCAAATCCCGGTTAACGTTTGCCTAGGAGACTCCTCAAGCTTCCCGGCTTCAGGATAATAATTGATGGCTGGGGAACCCACACACGGGGTAAGGGGAAGCTGACACCAGTAGGTGTCCTGGTGGCATTTCAGGGAGAACCAACGGGGGAGGGGGCAACTGGGTATTATCACAAAAGGGTCCTGGGCAGGGTCCAGACTGGTGGGGGTCCAGCCCTGCCTGGTCCCGGACTCAGAATGTTAAACCCAGTTCTGAATTTGGTACTTATCACCCCATGCACGCCCTCAAGCTTCTACTACATACGGATGTATTCCAACCCGATGTAAGACCACAGTTTATTTCTCCATTTTCCTATTGATTGGCATTTGGGTTGTTAACAGTTTTCTGGTATTACAAACAACGCTGCAGTTGTGAACAGAAGTTCTTGAGCACGAGGCAAACTCCAGGAGTGGAACTTCAGGAATTGCTGGGTCACCAGGTATTTGCAACTTCAATTTACTAGACAGCTCCTAATTGCTCTCCAGAGTGGTTGCACCAATTTCCCTTTTCATCAACAGTAGGTGAGCCTTCCAACTGCTTCTTCCCACCTTGGTGTTGCCAGAATTAAGGTGCCAGCCTGTCAAGTGTGAAACAAAACACCCTTGTGGATTTCATTTGCATTTCCGGATTGCTAATACAAGGGGGCACCTTTTCTTTAGTTCTTGTGGCCGCTTAGCTCCTCTTCTGTAAATTCCCTGTTCAAGGCCTTTGCCTATTTTCCTTTCTTTATGGATATGCAGGAATTCTTTACATATTCTGAATACTAATACTTTGTTGGTCATTTGCTTGTGGACAACTTCTCCCGGTCGGTAGCGTTTAGTTTCAGCTTTTTACGGTGTCCTTTAACACAGATTTTTAATTTTAATGTTAAATTCTCATGAGAAACCTGTATGGTTTACCCTGAGGTTACAAAAATATTCTTTATTTTCTTGTAAAATGTTTAAAGTTTGTGCTTCACAGTAGTTTGTATGCACCTGGAATGATTTTTATGTATCAGGTGAGGTAGAGATCCAATTTCAATTTTCCCTATATAGATAATCCATTGTCCCAGCACCAGTATTAGTGCATTGTTTCCTCAGTGATTTTTTAAGCAGAGAAAAAAACAATAGTTGTTTTGAGAAAAATAAATCTATCTAAAGAAAATATTAGCAACTGAAACCAACAATGTGTTAATAGCAATTACAACATTATGAGCAAGTTGTGTTTACCCCAAGAATTCAAGGAACACTAGAAATCATTAGAAACTATGCATGTAATTGAGCTTTTGAACAGAGAAAAGTAGAAACCCATCCGATCATCTCAATAGATGCAGAAAAGCATGCAATTAGCAACCGCTCATATTGTATGTATTGTATTTTTCCTTAAGAATGCATGGTGTTTTTAGAGATTTTTAAACGTTCAGAGAAGCAAACATCAAACAAAAACCAAGCATGAGCAACAGCGATACTGCAGGATCCATCCTGGGGCGTGTCCCATCAGTCTTGGCTCAGATCACTTCCTAAGGGCACTTGCAGGTCTATGATTCTCCGACCACAAATACTATCTTTGGCAAGTCTGGTTTTGTTTTGGCCTTTATCCAATTCCTGGATTCCATGCAGGGGCTGAGAAGCCCTGAGAAATAAAAGATGGATCCGGCCCAGCGGACCCTACAGTTCCTCACCTCCGACCGCGCCCCAACTATAGGCGGGGCGGGCATGTCACGCAATGGATCCCCTGGCAGCAACCCGAGACCGCTTCTCTTCTCCGCATTCCAAGTCACTGGCTCGGCCGGGGCCGACAGATGCGAGCGCTCCAGAGACTGGTAGGCGGGCCTTTCGGTCTCTCCTAATTCTGCCCCACCTCTGGGGAAGGAGTGCGGACACCTTGACCGGGGCAGGGTGGGGATGTCTGTGCAGAATTGAGCGCTAGGCCTTCACACAGTGCCCAGGGACAGGGGCCTCCCAAGGACGGGGGCCTCCCGGGCCCTAGTGGCGGCAGGGGCGCCGGAGGGGGGAAAAAGGAGGCCGGGCAGGGGGGCCAGAAGGAGTGGTGGCGGAGGTCCCAGGGGGAGCGAGGCCGGGACGGGCAGATTCACTCCGGAAGCGGCAGCGGCGGAGGGGACGAGCGGTCTGGGCCGGAACTGCAGGGAAGTCTGGAGCACGGTGATCAGAGCCGCGGGCTGGGACCTGCGGGGGGGCGTGCAGGGCGTTGGCCCGGGTGACCTCGGGCCAAACTCCCGGTCTGCAGAGATGGGCGCCAGGCTCGGCGGAGTAAGGCGGGAGCGGCTTTTCAGCCTCAGAGATGCAGAAAGAAAGGGATGGAGGATGAAGGAAACCCGGGTGTCCCGCTTGCCGCCCCCACACCTTTTAACACTCTGTGCGCCTGCGCCTGCGCCTCGGCCGCTGTCCCCGTGGGAGTCTAGCTGCTCCGAACGCCACTGCGCCTGCGCATGCGTCTCGGCCGCGCGCTCTGGCCACGGGTACACTTTGCGCGAGCCTTCTGCTCACCAGACCGCCCTCAGCACCCACTGCGCTTGCGCATGCGAGTCTGCCTCTACACTGGTGTGCGCCCCGCAAACGCTCGCTGCGCATGCGTTTCTTCCTCTCGGCTCAGATTCGCTTCTGGCGAACGTCCTAGTGAAGTAACTGCACCTCCCTGCCCTCAGGGCGCATGCGCTGCCACCTGCGCGGCGATGGCCGCCGTGGTTCTACTGGGGCAGGGCAGGTCAGCACAGGCCACTGTTCCCCAAAATTCTGGAGACATGTGTACGTGCTCGATGTCCTCCTGCGATCTGGAAAGGTTTGAAGTCCAAAGCCCGCCCGGCCCAGGCGTTTCAGATAAGGGACTGCGGACCAGCGTGAAGACGGGTGCAGCCGCTCTGGGAAGCTTCACGAAGGCATCAAACGTACAGAAACCCCTTGTGCTTGTTCGTGCAGTGGAGTTAGGTGCTGGGCTCAGACGAGCATGATCAAGTGTGCACGCGCGGGGAGGGCCTGGGGCCCCGTGCAGGGCGGCGTGGGACCACCTGTCTGCAGATCCGCGGGCCGGTGGCATCCAAGGCTGGCATCCCTCGCGATGCCGGCGCGCATCTCGTCCTCGTGCGGGCCGGACGCGCCCCGAGAGGCCGCAGCCGCTGGGCACTGCAGTCCCGGCTGCCTCCCCCTCCTGTGACTGTTTCCCTCCCTCACCTCTTCCCCAACCGTAGTCTGCTCTTGCACGCTCCCTCCAAGCTGGGTCCTGACGTCCTCCTCCGCCGAGGGCATGAGGGCACCAGAAGAGAACGCCCACACCGCCCGCCACCCCGTCTCTGGGTTTCCCCCCAACCCGCGCCGATTCCCTTCAGAGATCCGCACCTCCTTCAAGTCTTTGTGCCGATGCCCCCCCCCCACCCCCCGCGCCTTCCGTCTCCGTCGCACTAGCTGACAGACTGGACCTTGTCCTTGTTCGCTTTGTTAGTGCCTGTCCTGCTGGAAGGAAAGCTCCATGAGGTCACGGGTTTAGTCTCTTGTTCACTGCTGTATCCCCGTGTCCTAGAATGGTAGAGTTATTGCCCATGGTAGGGAGGCAAGAAATCTTTGTTCACTGATTTAATCACTGTCCTAGCTAATGTCTCGATGCTTTTCACGACCTGGCACGGGACTAGGCAATCTCCATGCACAAGCTCATGGAATTAAATAATTTCCTGCTGTCTTGGAGACCTGCCAGCATCCCCTGCCACACAGGCTCGGTTGTCATCAGGCACTGTGCCTCTTGCTGCTTTCTGCAGATCTGCTATCTTAGTGGAACTCGCACCTCCATGTCGCCAGCATGGAGCTTTGACATGACTCCAGTGAGACCAGACTGCTGGGTTGTCCCCTGCCTTTCTCCTATGGCTTCCAGCTTGGGAGGAAGTTACTTATAGGAACTTATAGGCAGCCAGGGTGCCTGTCATGGACCGGTCTCCAGACCTGTGGCACTATCTTTGGCAGGACCCTGCCCTCCAGAACCACTCCCTGCGCCTCCCCACCCCCAGCACAGTGTCTCACCAAATGGCGCGTGCATGTCCCGCTTCTGCCAGCTGTATGTGCCCCCAGCACAGTTCCTGGCTGGGACAGGCACTTGGTTTGACTGACAAATGAATAAACAGTCCTCAGGTTCTGGAAGTTCTTCAGAAAACCTTTAGCCAAACATCCTTCTGCCATGAAACTTGTATTTAAGTATTTAAAAGTGATCAGTTTGACTTGCAGTACTTTAAATTTGCAGGACGATTTGCCAGGACAGGAAAGGCAGTAGGATTTACTGGGAAAAGAGCAACAATTTGATTTTTGTTTAGTTAACTACTTTGTAAATGCCGAGGAAAACATCTGAGGGAAGCAGTTCATTGTTGTGCCTTTGAGGGAGTGGAGACTGAATTTTCAAGAATTTTAACAAGCGTGTTTTTTTATAATTAAAAATTATAAAAAGAAAAATAGAAATAAGATTGTGAATTCCTAAAAAAATACCAACTTAAATGGGACGGAGCATCAGGACACCAAGTCTTCATGGCTGGTGCCTTGGGGAGTTCTCCCTCTGTCCCTAAGGGCGTCACTCTAGGATGAAGAGCTGTCCTTGATGGGACCCAGTGTGTGTGGCATACGTGTAATGCGGCTGTCCCCCAGCCCGGAGGTAGGCATTATTATCTCCAGGTCCAGCAAGGAAGTGACTCAGAGAGGACGAGGGAGCAAGGGCAGGGCGGGCATTGGGACCCAGGCATAACCGCCAGCTGTGGCTGCTCTCTGCTGCTCCGTATGCCCCCCAAGTCCCCACACGTGTAGGTCCATGTGGCCCCTTCTGTTAGCCTCATGCAGACCAGGCTGGGAATTAAGAGAAGGAGGGGGCCGGCCCCGTGGCTTAGTGGTTAAATGCGCGCACTTCTATGCTGGCGGCCCCGGTTCGGATCCCGGGCGCGCACCGACGCACCGCTTCTCCGGCCATGCTGAGGCTGCGTCCCACATACAGCAACTAGAAGGATGTGCAGCTATGACATACAACTATCTACTGGGGCTTTGGGGGAAATAAAGAAATAAAATTAAAAAAAAAGAGAGAAGGAGGCCCAGGCACTCTGTTGGAGAATGTTGCAGTGGGGCGAGTCATTGGGGCTCAGGGGCTGCTGTCCTGCCAGGGGCAGAGCTTCACTCCACTGGGGCCCCAGCTCAGAGCATGGTCCTGCCGAGCCACAGCAGGCAAGCCTGGGGGCAGCCCGGCATGGAGGGCCGGGAACTGCTGTCCATCTCAGGAAAATGCTGTTGAGGCGGGGTGGGGGCAAGGGGTCAGTGGGGTCCTAGACTCAGAGGCAGCTTGGGTTCCTCTGCTCTCTGCTAGCTCTGTGTCCTAGGTAACTCCTGTCCTGCTCTCATTGCCTGCTTCAGGCAATGCTGTGCCTGGGAGGCTGCGGCCCCGGGACGGAGGTGGAGGCTGTGAGGGTTACCCTGTGTCGTCCCCTTTCTCCTCAGATTCAGGGCAGGGTCCTGCTCCTGACCATCTGTGCGGCTGGCATTGGTGGGACTTTTCAGTTTGGCTACAACCTCTCCATCATCAATGCCCCGACCTTGGTATGTACCCTCTGTGCCCCGTCATCATCCCAGTGGGTGCTGGGCGAGGGCCAACACTGCCAGCTTTGGGGCTTCAGGCCAGCATCCAGTTGGTGGCGCTTTCTCCCAGGGGTTCACCTCCCCAGGCATGTCCCACAGGTCCCATGGGTTCAAACCCAGCTCTGCATCCTCCCGCGAACACACACGTCTTCCTGAGTCCCTGATGGCAGCAGTCCACTGTCTGCCCACTGACTGGGGGTCAGCCTCAACTGTCTTCCTCCCTCGGACACCAAGTCCTTCCTAACTACTTCTAGCATCCAGCCATTTCTCCCTGTGTCTCTGCCATGACCCCACTTCAGGCCCCGTCTCACGTGGCCCACTCCAGATGAGTCAGTAGGTGTAGCTACCATGACGGTGGGCTTACAGAGGACTGAGGGGCATAGAGAACACACAAGGCGGGGGGAGCGCAAGAATGCAGGGTTAGTAGCACTGATGTTACCACCCCGACCCCCAGAGGGACAGTGCAAGGAGCAGTTACTGAGACCGGAAGGACAGAGCCGTGTGGCGTCAGCCCCCTTGACAGGCGCAATGACCTCGGGTCGAGCGTCGCAACCAGCCTGAGGTGACCTCACAAGGAGGGAACCCCGGGCACTCCGGGCACAGACCACCCCCTCGGATGGCCTCTCTCTCCTGCCTCCTCTGATGCTCTGCGGGGGCTCACACAGGCTGAGGCACACAGAGAGCCAGTGAGCGAGGGGGCCGGCTGATGTGGCCCGTGCAAGTGGCTTCCCGGCCTCAAGCAGGGGACGGGGTGAGAGTGGACCCGGGGGGCCCAGGGAGTCTGTCCAGCACTGGCTGCAGGAGACACTGCGTGAGATAGAGCGGCACGGGCCCTGCACAGTGCTGGCCGGGCAGGTGTGTTCCTGCCCCTCGGAGGAGAATCGCTCAGGAGACCTGGTGCCCGCTTGCAGAGGCACAGCCCTGTGGGGGAGAAGGCTTCAGGTGGGGAGCCCCCTCCCCGGGAGGCTGACGGGCATCTCTGTCCACAGCACATTCAGGACTTCACCAATGAGACGTGGTGGGGACGGACCGGCCGGCCACTGCCCGACCACCTGGTTCTGCTTGTGTGGTCCTTCATCGTGTCCCTGTACCCCCTGGGGGGCCTCTTTGGAGCGCTGCTTGCAGGGCCCCTGGCCATCAAGCTGGGAAGGTAAGTGCTTGCTGCGTACCCCCAGTACCCTTTAATGAGGGCACCCCAGTCTGCAGGCTGAGGAATGTGGGAGAAGGAAGATGCCCGGCAGGCCCAGACACAGATCAGCTGCTCCCCTAGCCTCTTACTCTGCCTGGAGTTCCACCAGGAGAGTCCCATTTCCGTGCGGTCTGGCAGAGGGAAGAGTCCTGTGCTGTGAGGGAGGAGGACTCCGGGTTTCTAGTCCCCCGTCCAGCAAGTGCTCTTCGACCGTAAACAAGTATTTCCCCCGGGCCTCACTTCCCCAAGTATCCAGCTGATGGCAGATCTTGGGTCACAGACAAGAGAGAACGACTCTGACTGACTGAATGGGAAACTGTAGTAACTGGAAGGACACTGCAGCAGCTCACAGAATGAAAGGAAGTGCTCAAAGGCCAGGCCTGGAGCGGGGCTGGACCAGGGCGGGGCCGAGGACCTCGGCAGCCAGGGCTTGGACGTTCCTCCTGGGAGGCCGCCCTCAGCCAGTGGGCTCCACCACAGTCCAGCTCCACTGCCTGCGGTCAAGATTCCGAATCCAGGAAAACGGGTGTTCCTGGCCCACCCTGGGTCACCCGCCTACACCTGTGAAGGAGGGGAGAGAAGCAATGCTGGGCAGATAGACAAATGGCCTCCACAGCCCAGCCCTGTGCTAGTTACCCGGTGGGTGTAGACACCTTTCTCCTATATATTCAGCTCCATACCTGCCCCTCTTAACATTCCTCAGCCATCCCATCATCTATACCAGCATGTGTTCTTCACCCCTGCCTGAGTGACACCACTCCCAGCACTGTCTTGTCACAGCCACCAGGCCAATCTAGTGGAGATGTTCTCTCTGAGTGCAGGGCTTCCACTTGACGACCCTTCTGCCATCCCTGCAGTGAACCTCTTGATATTCTGCCATCTACACACTTAATGGTAAATTTACCCGCCATCAAGACCCCCCATAGGAGGAGGAAAGAAGAAGAAAGAGTAAGGAAAAAACTAAGGAAAAGAAAAGTAGTGGGTGCATTTGTTGTAAAGCATGTGACACAGAAAGTCTGGAAACACAGGCAGAGGCTCTGCTCCTTGGTTTTGGAACTGGTCACAGGCTGTTGCCAGCATCGGTGACTTCCCTCCTCTGTTCTCCGCTCTCGTCTTGGCCAGCTCTTCCACTGGCTGAGGCTCTCTGCCCGTTAGGGTGACCCAGATCTTCACTCTGGAGTGGGTGTGGTGGTCCTGATGGTGTGGGACCTGCAGCAGGCTGTTCCACTCTGAGGTCATCTGCTTCTGCGTGATGGGATTCCTGACGCAGGCCTGAGGTCCACGGGCATCCGCCCCTCTCTGTTCACTGACGTGACTGCCTTTGTTGGATGGAAAATCGCACGGGTGTCAAGTTTGTATAGTTAATGGGGTATCTGTTAGGACATCTTCAACTGTAAGAAACAGAAAACCAGGACTCAGTCGGCTCAACAACAGGAGATCCTCGATCTCACACAACCAGAAGTCTGTAGGTGGTGACTTCGGGACGGCCTCAGCCCACCAGCTCTGCTCCTCTGAGCTTCCCTTGCCTGCTGGCTCCACTGGTGTCAGCTCTGTCCCCAGGCTCATGGCTGGGAAGCTGCAGCGGTGCCTCCCCAGATGCGACACCCCCAGGCAGAAGGGGGAAGAATTCCTGGCCAATGCTGTGTATCAGAAAGAAAACCGCCTGTCAAAAAAGGCACTGTGTCTCATTGCCCAGCACTGGGTCACTGGCACAGAGAACGGGATCACCGAGACTGGGCCAGATGATCGGCTCACACCTGAACCGTACGGGGAAGGGGCACGTTCCCAAACAAATCGAGGCTCTTCCTCAAAGAAACAGGAGGTGATGAGAGCTGTTGCCCAAATATCTAAGGATACCTGGGACAGTGTCCCCAGAAGATGGTGCCGGCAGAAGCAGGGAGAGAAGGAATTGAAAATTCAAACCCAGCCCATGTGCCTGTTCCAATTCTAACAAATTACTGTCCCATCCCCACGGCAGGGACCAGTGGAGGTCGTCTTCTATGCAGGAGCTGACCAGAGCTCTGACACGTGTTGCCGCCTATGGGAGTCAGGGCTGGCTGTGTAGGGTGGCAAGGTGGCTAGTCACTTGGTGACAGGAGCCCCTGTCGTTGAGTCCATGTGCATTTTCTGTCCTTGCAACTCCACCTGCTTTGGTCATTAGCCGATGGAGCGAGCCCTGGGCTGGCTGAGGAAGGCAGTGGATGCCCTCACAGAGGGGTCGTTCTGTCCCCCTGATTATGCAGAGGGGGACAAGGTCTTCTGCAGGGTCAGGGGCTTCTGGTGAGCGGAGACACAGACAGGTGTGTGTTCAGGGTCTGGGCCCATTCTGAGAGATCCCTCTGCTGCCCTTCCCTACGCTCCTTGAAACCAGTCTTCAAATCCTGCTTCCTCTAAGACATTGACGATCCAACCAAACCCTTTCGAAAAGGGACAACATTCCATGCTCAAGATTCTACTACAGGAAGGCTTTCATTCCTCCAGTATCTTTTGGGGCCACGTTGGAGTGACCATAGCTCTACATTTCTGGCTACAACCAACATGTTCACGCAACCACCTGCAAACCAAGGTCAAGCTTCGTTTCGTCTGTTTTAAACTACAGACAAGAGGCCCTGGGTATGCCTGGGGGAAGGGGACAGTAGGGTGGAGCAGGCCTGCCAATGTGAGTAACGTGCTCATGGGAATCTTCGGGGCTCCCACAAGGTGTCACTAGAGAGTAATTGAGTGCTCCTGGGCCCATTCTGCCTTAGCACAGGAGCGTCACAGGGCAGTGCACGTGTGACCTACAGTCAGCTCTCCTGAGGGATCTGAGTGACAGCACTTCTGAGCTCAGTGTCAGGAGCCCAGAGCTGATGCTTCATCACGGGGGAGCCGCTGACATTCCGGTGCCCCCTTCCTGGCCTGCAGTCTGTCCCCTGGAACTGGGCACGGGCCATCCAGCCGCCCTGAAGGTTCTGAGAAGTGACTCTACGACACACGGAGGAAAGTGTGAGGGGACTGCGCCGCCTCCCATCGTCCCTCCCACACTCTGAAAGTCCCTGTTCTTCCTCCCAGGGTTTCATTGAGTCTGAGAAATTAGATATTGGTCCCTTCATTTCACAGTGGACTTTGAGGAGAACTAAGCTTAATCTGCAGGGATAAAACCATAAAATACAAGTTCTGTCATTTCAAGCTGTGGTGCAGGCACAAAGAGTAATCTGGGGTGCGTTGGGGCGGGGGAGTGGGCATAGGCCCCTCCAGGCACACCGTGGTGACCCAGGTACGATGGCCAGTGGTCATGTCCGTTCATGTGGCTCAGACTCCTTGACACAGTTCACACTCGCATGTACACACAGTCTGATCAGGGCTGGCTGGAGCGGCACAGAGGGGTCCCCAGGGATCGTCCCTCTGGACTGAACCCGAGCCTCTCTTGCCTGTGTTCCCCATCCCCCAAGGAAGAAGACCCTCCTGGTGAATAACATCTTCGTGGTGGCTGCAGCGGTCCTGTTTGGCTTCAGCCGCAGAGCAGGCTCCTTCGAGATGATCATGCTGGGAAGGCTGCTCATGGGAGTCAGTGCAGGTACGGGGCGAGGGCGTCTTGTCCAGCCCCTCTATTCCCACTCATTCATCTATTCCCGTCACTCGTTCATTTATTCTCTTTGTTTATTGACTTGCTTTTCATTCATGCCCTCCTTCTCTTGCAAATGATTAAATATGGTTTACCCTAAAAGGCTCATATAACTGGACAATCAAAATGGATATACAAAAATGCTACAGTTGAACAGGAATGTGAGGACAACATCCCCCAACCTAACAGAGGTCCTGTGTTGGAGTGACACTCTAAGCCAGGAGCTCCCTGGCAGCCGAGGAGTAAAGGCATCCAGGATGCGTTCTCTGATCTTCCCTACAGAAGCAGAATAGTCTGTGGGGGACTCTTCAGTTTTGGGCGCTTGTCGTGTGAGGGAGCAGGATTTTGAGCACATCCACCTGGGCTTTTAGGGGCTCCCATCAGCAATCCCCTCTTGACTCCCTACTGTTTATACAGCCAGGGGTCGACGTCTATATTAGTTATCTATTCCTGAGAAACCAAGTTCTCCAAAACTTAGAGGCTGTGCACGCATCCAGGTGTAAGCATGAACGTCCAGCCCATGTACCTGGGGGAGAGCGCCCCCAAGGAGCTCCGAGGAGCCGTGGCCATCACCTCAGCCATCTTCACCGCCCTGGGGATCGTGATGGGTCAGGTCGTCGGGCTCAAGTAAGTGCCCCTCCACGTGCACTGAGTGGTTGGAGGGGAGCCAGTAAAAGCCCTTCTTCGCCTGAGTTTCTCCCCTACTCACCAAAGAGATGAAGGCATTGCTCCTGTGTTTTGAAACCCTGCCCACTTCCATCCGGCCAGTACACAAAATTGGTATCAGTCAGCCACACTTCAGTGTGAATCACTCTTTTCCATTCCCTCCAGATCAGGGAGCAAAAACGGCTCTTGAGAGAGTAAAGGGTGAAGGTTCGGGCTTTCAAAGGGGAGTTTGTCCTGGTCATCCCAGAAAAGAGAGGAGAGGGCTGAGCCTGGAGCCCTGGGAAGAGGAGTTGCTAGGGATGAGGTGGGGCCACAGCCCTGCCCTATCTGGAGTCCCTGCTTGGGTGGGAGGGTATCTTGGTGTCCAGACCCAGAGCTGGTTAGGAAGAGGCAGAGGGCAATGCAGACCCTCTGCCCTCAGGAGGGCAGGTGGGCAGGGGGCAGGGGTCTGGCAAGAAGGCGTGTGGCCCGGCCTCTCCTCTATCTCCCCAGGGAGCTCCTGGGGGGCCCGCAGGCCTGGCCCCTGCTGCTGGCCAGCTGCCTGGTGCCCGGGGTACTCCAGCTGGCCTCCCTGCCCCTGTTCCCTGAGAGCCCACGCTACCTCCTTATTGATTGTGGAGACACCGAAGCCTGCCTGGCAGGTGAGTCCCTGATCTCGGGCCCCCAGACCACCCTTGACCATGGGCACATCTGACCAGAGCATGTGGGTCCCATTTCCGGGTTTCATTCATCAGGGAAAAGCCGTCCCTCTCTTTCTGCCTCAGTTTCACGATCCATCCATCCATCTGATGAAAACTCTTTCTCAAGGTGCTGTCCTAAGTGCCAGGGCAGTGGGATGGAGCAGACCCAGCCCCCGCTATCCAGGAACCGCAGGGTGGTACAAAGAAAGTGACCCTCCCACACACACTCAAGTTGAAACACCGTGTAAGACCTCACAGGCCCAATGCCAACTGGGTGCCAATGGTCTTATCCGTTAGCTGTGGCCACAGGAATGATGCCCAAGGAAGAATCCCAAAATCTCTGGCTTAAAACAACCATCGTTTACTGCATCTTCTTCTTATTTGCTCACTGGGCTGGCTGCACAACTCTGCTGATCTCACCTGGCTTGGCTCATGGTGGCAGGGGTCAGCTGGGGGTTGGCCAGCCCAGGCTGGTCTGGCTGGAGCAGTTCGGCTCTGCTGCACATGCCTCTCCTCTCACTCTTGGCACCAATGGGCTAGCCCAATACGGAGATGGCAGAGGTACAAGAAAGCAAATCCAATGGCACAGGCACTTTTTGAACCTTTGGTCCCTCTTGCCCATCAACATCCCACTGGCCCAAAGTCAAGGGATGGGAAAATCAATGACGTATCCTCTCACATGGCAAGGGGTGTAGACTGAGGGAGGGTGAAGACCAGGGCCCGCTAATGTGCTCCTCTCAGCTTGCCATCATGGCCACAGTTATTATTCATGTGCCTCCCCTGTGCAAACAGGCTCAATGCCATCCTGGGAACACCCCACCCAAGTCTCATCCAATCATGGCATCAGGCATGAAGTCCAGGATCTCAAGATCATGTCAAGTCTATATGTGCCTTCTCTTGATCCAGAGACTAGGAGCTAAAAACTCGGTCTTCTGCCTCTCCTGCATTCAACAGACTGTTAGGATAGGGCAGATTGACCACAACCAGCCCCCACTTCAAAAAAGAGGAGGCAAAGAAGAAATGACCGCTTCTTTGCCTCCATAGCAATGCTGAGGGGCCCCTGGGAAAATGCTGCCAGGGTCCCCTGCCTTGGGAGTGGGGAATGTTCCCCCATCGAGCCCCGGCTCTGCCCCCTGGGAGGGGCTCCCCAGGCCACAGCATCCCCAGGTTCTTGCTTCTGCCCCCGAGATGTCCTTCCTTTTCCATCACCTTCCTTGACACCTTCTGAGAAAATGTGCCTATGGGAAGTTGGGGCACAGAAGTCTTTACATTTCAAACTGTCTCAGACTCTTTTCGTCCAGGCTGGCATAGCTTTTGTCAGTACACCTTTCTCAATAACTGAATTTTCTATGTTTTTGACTTATTTGCCAAAAACCACACCCACAATTCTTTTTGAGACATGCTTCTCTCTTGCGACCTACTTACTGGAATTTTGGGTCTGTCAGGTTGCTGTGGACCAACACCCTTAAGCCCCGAAATGCCCCTTTCTGCAGCCATGTGGGTCGGTGAAGCACGGCTTTAAGCTACGCCCTTGATTTGATCTTCCTCCTGTGTCCATGGCTCACTGGCCGTGTGCTGGATTTAATCTTGCTTTCAGGCTGTAACTTAACTTGACTCTGCCATCTGGGGAGGCTAGAGATGAGAATCAGGCTTAGTTTGTGTGTGTGTGTGTGTGTGTGTGTGTGTGTGTGTGTGTGTGTGTGAAAGATCAGCCCTGAGCTAACATCCAATGCCAGTCCTCTTCTTTTTTTGCTGAGCAAGATTGGCCCTGAGCTAACATCGGTGCCCATCTTCCTCTTCTTTATATGGGACACCGCCACAGCATGGCTTGATAAGCAGTGCGTTGGTGCGCGCCCGGGATCCAAACCTGCGAACTCCAGGCTGCCAGTGCAGAGAGCATGCACTTAATCGCTGCACCACCCGGCCGGCCCCTAATCAGGCTTAGTTTTTGTTCGTGTTTTTTAACTAACCTAGCAAGTTCTAGAATAAGTTAAATTTAATTAAATTTTGTCCCTCCGAAGGGGTCTTTGACCCCAGGTTTTTCTTATAGCAAGCTTAGAATACTCAGCTGAAAGCAACCCATTCCTGACACTTGCAGATCTCTTCACCCAAGTCCAGAGGTTCATTAGGTCTGTTTTCATTCTTCCCCATTACCACCCTACATACACGGCCTTTCATGTTTCCTGTGACCTCACCGTCCTCTGCCTGCCGGTGGAACCGACACCATGTGTTGCAGGTCCTACTTGCAGTGGCACCTACTCCCAGTACCAGTTTATTGAAAATAATCAGTTTTCTTTGCTGCCTGGCAATCAGGTGTCAGTGGCAAACAAAAGGAGCAATAATTGGCTCAAGCCTCTGTGAGTTCCAGGGGTCGGCTGATGTTGGCAGGGTCTGGCTGGTGGCTCTGCTCATCTTGGTCACTCATGCAGGTCAGCTGGGCATCGGCTGATCGAGGAGGGTCCTCCTGGGACCAGTGGGCTAGCCTCATTGCACGTTTTTATGATGATGGCAGAAGAGCAAGTAGAAATGAGCAAGGTCTCTTAAGGCCTGGGCTGGACCAGGCACACCCTCCCTCTAGCCTCACTCTATTGGCCAGAGCGAGTCACGTGGCCGAGACCACGCCCAGGGCGGGGACGCAGACTTGCCCCTTTAGTGGGAGCAACTGTAAGATCACAGAACAAAGGATAGGGATACAGAGCGGGTGAAGACTTGGGGACGAGAATGGTAACCTGCCGCAATAGTCTGCCTCGTTGATGGGTCCGCAGAACCCCGAGGTGCTGTGAAATGACAGGGCAGGAGGGTGATTGCCCTCTGGCCCAGGGGGCTCCGAGAGACAGGAAGGAGGGGGGCCTGGGGAGCTCACTGCGGGGACCGAATTGGGGCTGGGCGGGGAGCTCACGCCCTCCGCCCGCCCCGGCTCAGCTCTGCAGCGGCTGCGGGGCCCCGCGGACGTGGCGGGGGAGCTGGCCGAGCTGGAGCGGGAGCGCGCCGCCTGCCGGGGCCAGCGCGCGCGGCGCCCGTGGGAGCTGTTCCGGGAGCGCGCCCTGCGGAGGCAGCTGACGAGCCTGGTGGTGCTGGGCAGCGCCATGGAGCTCTGCGGGAACGACGCGGTGAGCCCCGCTCCAATCCGCCCCGGGGGCCCGGGGGATGGGGGAGCCCGCGCCCGAGCCGCCCTCGGCCCGCCCTCTGCAGGTCTACGCCTACGCCTCCTCTTTGTTCCGGGAGGCGGGGGTCCCCGAGGAGAGGATCCAGTACGCCATCATCGGGACCGGGAGCTGCGAGCTGCTCACGGCCTTTGTCAGCGTGAGTCTGGCCCCGGGCTGACCCTCCACCAGGCTTGCGGGGCCCTCGGGGCGCTGACACTCAGGACTCGGTCTTCTGCGCTCAGCCCTTCTTCACTCCAGGTCACTCTGGTCAAATGCCGCGAGTTCGCGAGCATTTATTGGGCACTTGTTTGCCGGGCACTCCCACCACCGTTTTACGATGAGGAAACTGAATGAAGTTGAGTGACCAAAGTCCTCTGGGAAATTAATAATGTCTTCATGTCCTGAAGCGATAAATTGCCCCTACCCCCCACCAGTTTTCTCATGAGGCCCCTCCCCACTGCCCGCCCTAAATCAAGGGGACCGTGACCACGCGCCGGGGGCAGTTCCTGAGGACTCCTGTTCTTTGCAGTGTATGGTCATCGAGAGGGTGGGCCGGCGCGTGCTGCTTATGGGGGGGTACTGCCTGATGACCTGCTGCGGGAGCGTCTTCACGGCAGCCCTGTGCCTGCAGGTAGCTGGGCAGGGGTGAGGGAGGAGTGGGTGGCAGTAGGCCGCCTGATGCCCACCTCACCCCACCCTCTCTGCTGCAGAGCTCTGTCCCCTGGATGCCCTACCTGGCCATGTCCTGCCTCTTTGCCTGCATCCTCAGCTTTGGCATCGGCCCCGGTGAGCAGACCCTGGGGTTCCCAGTGGTGGGCCTTGTGGAAGGACCGGTGGATGTCTGGGTGAACAATGGGTGGATGTGAATGCAGTGTTGCCTGCCTGCCACTCTGCCTCCAGCCCACCTGTTCCGAGATTCTGGAAGGGAATGGCTGGAGGAGAGCACCAAGGAGCCCCCACTTTCATATCTGGGGCAAGGTTGGGGAAAGGCAGGGCAGGAAGCCCTGGCTGGCAGCCCCGTGTCCCCATCCTCCTTCCAGCTGGAGTAACAGGGATCCTGGCCATGGAGCTGTTTGACCAGACGGCCCGGCCTGCTGCCTATGTGGTCTGTGGGGCGCTCATGTGGACCATGCTCTTCCTGGTGGGACTGGGGTTCCCCTTCATCATGGTAAGCCTGCCCTTCTCCCCAGGGGGCCCTGTCTGAGGTTGTGTCCCTGTCTGCATGAGAACCCCGGCGGCAGGCCTGCATCTGGGGAGACTGAGGCCAAAGGGGGTGGGGCCTATCTGAGCAGAGGGCCTAGTCCCTCATCATGACCGCTCATGGGGCCTTCTGTCTGGGGGCTGGATGGGGCCACATGGGGTCTCGGGCTCTCTTTTAACCCACAGGAGGGCTTGTCCCACTTCCTCTATGTGCCTTTCCTCGGTGTCTGTGTCTGTGGGGCTGTCTACACTGGCTTCTTCCTCCCTGAGACCAAAGGCAAGACCTTCCTGGAGATCTCCGAGGAATTGCACCAACTCAACTTCCCCAGGCGGAGCCAAGGCCCCATCTCGAGGGTCCCAGAGGTCATCCTGTCCACAGAGCTGTAGCTCTGCAGGGGTGGCCAGGGCCCAGATCCAGCTGCTTCTCTTCCCTTTGCTCCTACTGAGGGTCTGGCCCTTTCCAGTCACAGCTCCTGCATTCATGTGTTTAATGGGTGCTTATTGAGCACCTACTGTACGCAGGCATGGTGCCAGGTTCTTGGCAATCGGTGGTGAGCCAGAGGGATGGGATCCAGGCCCTCTTGGTGTGCCCCATCTAGAGGCCGTTAACTAGGAGAAAACTAATAAGAGCAGAACTACAAACTGGGGAATCCAGTGGAAGGAAAATACAGGTGGTGAAGGGCGTGCAGACCAGGGGGCCTGGCCTCATTGGAGAAGCAGATCAGAAAAGGGTTTTCAGAGGAATTGATTTTTAAAAATCAACTGTATTGAGGTGTAATTGACATACAATAAAATGCCTGCACAGTAGGTACACAATTGATGAGTTTTGACTGATGTGTATACCTACATGGGTATACACCTTGACACTACAGTCAAGGCAGAACATTCACATCACCCCAGAAGCTCCCTCATGCCCCCTTGCTGTCAGTAACCCACCCCACCCCCGGCCCCAAGCAACTGTGACTGCTTTCTGTCACTCTATGTCAGATTCACCCTTTTTTGAATTTGATATGTTACCTTACCAAATGTGCGCATTTGTGTCTGACTTTGCTCCAGATGAATTTTTTGAGATTCATGCATGTTGTCACATGTATCAGTACATAATCCTTTGTGTCTTTGAGGAGTGTTCCACTGTATGGATAGACCATCATTTGTTTATCCATTTCTCTATTGGTGGACATTTGGGCTGTTCCTAATTCTTGGCCATCATGAATAAAACTGCTGTGCACATTCCTGCACAAGTTGTGCAGACATGTTTTCATTTCTTTTCGGTAAATGAATTCTTGAGTTGAATAACGAGTGTATGTTTAACTCTAGAAGAAATTTTCCCAAAGTGACTGTACTGTTTCGCATTCCCGCTAGCAGCGTATGAGAGTTCCGGGTGTTCCAGCTCTTCAGCAGCACTTGGTGTTGTCAGTCTTTTTTTTTTTTTTTTTTTTTTGTGAGGAAGATCGGCCCTGAGCTAACATCTGCCAATCCTCCTCTTTTTGCTGAGGAAGACTGGTCCTGGGATAACATCCATGCCCATCTTCCTCTACTTTATATGGGACGCCGCCACAGCATGGCTTGCCAAGCAGTGCATCTGTGCGTGCCCGGGATCCGAACCAGCAAACCCCAGGCCGCCGCAGCGGAGCACGCGCACTTAACCGCTTGCGCCACCGGGCCGGCCCCTTATCAGTCTTTTCAGTTTAGCCATTCTACTAGTGTGAGTGGTGTCCTGTGGTTTAACTGTGGTTGAGCATTTTTCATGTGCTCAGTATGTCCATTCATGTATCTTCTTTTGTGAAGGATCTGTTCAAATCTTTTGTCCACTAATTTTTTTTTTAAGATGTAATTTTTTAGGGAAGTTTTCATTTCAGAGCAAAATTGAGAGGAAAGTACAGAGATTTCCCACATGTCCCCTTTCCGCAGACATGCATAGCTTCCCCATTATCAACATCCCCCAGCAGAGTGGTACCATTGTTACAATCAACGAACCTACACTGACACGTCATTATCACCCGGAGTCCATAGTTTACATTAGGTTCACTCCTGGTGGTGTACGTTCCGTGGGTTTGCACAAATGTATAATGACATGTATCCACCATTACAGTATCGTACGGAGTAGTTTCACTGCCCTAAAATCCTCCCTGCTCCACCTATGCATCCCTCCCTCCCCCTAGCCCTTGACAACCACTGACCTTTTTACTGTCTCCATAGTTTTGCCTTTTCCAGAACGTCATATAGTTAGAATCATATAATATGTAGCCTTTTCAGATTGGCTTCTTTCACTCAGTAACGTGCATTTAAGGTTCCTCCATGTCTTTTCATGGCTTGATAGCTCTTTTTTTTTTTTTTTTTGTGAGGAAGATCAGCCCTGAGCTAACATCCATGCCAATCCTCCTCTTTTTTTTTTTTTTTGTGAGGAAGATCAGCCCTGAGCTAACATCCATGCCAATCCTCCTCTTTTTTTTTTTTTTTTTTTCTTAGGAAAACTGGCTCTGAGCTAACATCTATTGCCAATCCTCCTTTTTTTCCCCCCTTTTTCTCCCCAAAGCCCCAGTAGATAGTTGTATGTCATAGTTGCACATCCTTCTAGTTGCTGTAGCTCATTTCTTTTTAGTGCTGAATGATATTCCATTGTCTGGATGGACCACAGTTTATCCATTCATCTCCTGGAAGACGTCTCGGTTGCTTCCAAGCTTTGGAAAGTATGAATGAAACTACTGTAAACATCCATGTGCAGGTTTTTGTGTGGACATACACTTTCAACTCCTTCGGGTAAATACCAAGGAGCATGATTGCTGGGTCACGTGGTAAGAGTGTGCTTAGTTTTGTAAGAAACTGCCAAACTGTCTTCCAAAGTGGCTGTGCCATTTTGCATTCCCACCAGCAACCAATGAGAGTTCCTGTTGCTCCACGTCCTCATTAGCATTTGTTGTCAACGTTCCAGATTTTGGCCATTCTAATCAGTGTGTGTAGTAGCTCGTTTTAATTTGCATTTCCCTGACGAGACATGCTGTGGAGCATCTTTTCACACGCCTATTTGCCAACTGTATGTCTTCTTTGTGAAGTGCTTGTTCTGGTCTTTGCCCCATTTTTAAAAATTGAATTGTTTTCTTGTTGAGTTTTAAGCATTCTTTCTATATTTTGGGTAAGAGTCCTTTATCAGATAGGTCTTTTGGAAATATTTTCTCTTTGTCTGTAGCTTGTCTTTTCATTCCCCTGACCGTGTCTTTCATAGAGCAGAAATTTTCCATTTGAATGACGTCCAGCTTATCAATTCTTTCTTTCATGGATTGTGCCTTTGGCATCATGTCTAAAGAGTCATCACCAGACACTGGTCTTCTAGCTTTTCTTCTAGTGTCCACCATTTTTGTTGGGTTGTTGGTTTTATTATTTTTGAGTTATAGAAATTCTTTATACAATCTAGATGCCAGTACTTTGTCAGGTCTATGTATTGCAATTTTTTCTTGCAGTCTGTAGCTTTTTTATCTTCTTAGTGTCTTTCTGAGAGCAGACATTTTTATTTTGATAAAGTCCAGTTTATCCATTTTATCTTTTATTATTCACCCTTTGTGTCCCGAGACATCTTTGCCTATCCCAACCCTGCAAAGATTTTCTTCTAGATGTTTGATAGGTTTAGCTTTAACATTGAGGTGGATGACTGATTTTGAGGTGGTTTTTGTGTATGGTGTGAGATAGGGTTGAGTTTTATTTGTTTACTTTTGATGGATAGCCGGTCATAGTAGTACCATTTGTTCATCTTTCCCCCGTTGAATTACCTGAGCGCCTCGGTCAAAACATCAACTCACCTTTGTTGTGTGCTAAAGAATCTGACTCACCTCTAGTAGGAGGCAGTAGGTGCCAAACGAGTGGCTGTGGAGGGCGGTGGGTTCTCTGGGGAGGGAGGAACCTCTGAGTGGGTGTCAGGAGAGGTCTCCAGGAGAAGGGACCCTGAGCTGGCTTCCTAAGGACAGGCCTAGCTGGAGTTCCTTTTATTTTATTTTTTTTTTGTGAGGAAGATGGGCCCTGAGCTAACATCTGCCAATCTTCCTCTTTTTTGCTAAGGAAGACTGGCCCTGGGCTAACATCCATGTCCATCTTCCTCCACTTTATATGGAACGCCGCCACAGCGTAGCTTGACAAGCGGTGCGTCGGTGCTCGCCCGGGATCCGAACCGGAGAACCCTGGGCTGCCACAGCGGAGCGTGGGCATTTAACCACTTGCGCCACCGGGCCGGCCCCTGGAGTTCCTTGTAAAGCTAGAGCCATTGGAGGCAGGAGCATTGAAGGATGAGGGTGAAGCCCCTGTGTGTACAGTAACTGGGGAGCCTTCTGGAAAGCAGGCCTCAGCACCCTGGGAGTCCTCTGTGTGCTCGCCCGGCTTCTCTCTGCTCTCTGCCCCATCGCCGCCTCTGCTGACCAGCCTCCCTAGCTTATCCTTGGGCTCCAGTGGCCACCCTGGATGCTAGTGGCCTCCAGTGAAGATTTGTGAGAAAGGACCCATTGGCAGGCGCCCCTTGAAATCCCGTGGTGTACAGGCTGTGAGCAGGGCAGGCATCAGGCAGCGTCCCAGGTCTGGGACTGCATTGGAGACACTATGGTGCCCTGGTCCCCAGCATGGGACGCAGAGATGCTGTCAGCCCAGGCCCAGCCCTTGGTCCGTGTCACACTCACCATCCGCCCAGCCAGAATTGGCTCTGGCGAGGCTTGCTTCCCTCTGGGAGTGTGGGGTGGGCATTGCAAGTCCTTGTTGCCCAAGGAACCCCTCAGCAGGCAAGGAGATGGAGACTCAGGACAGGACCCCACAGACAGGAGAGGCCATGCAAGAGAAGTGGGGGACACGGCCTGGGCATCACTGGACGTCCGTCCTGGTGCCTGACCTGCCTCTGTTGTCCAGGTGTGAGCATGAACCTGCAGCCCAAGTGCCCAGGCAGAGCGCCCCAAGGGGCTCCCAGGAGCCGTGGCCATGACCTCAGCCATCTTCCCTGCCCTGGCGATCCTGATGGGACAGGTCAGACTCAGGCAACCAACACCACCTGCATGGGGGGTTTGAGGACACCAGTCAGTCCATCTGTCCTCAAATGGTTTTTCAAGTCCCACAGCCTGAAATCTCCCAGTCTGGGTTTAGGCTGTTATTAACACTTCCCACTTGAGTGTGAATTGCCTTGTGGGACTCCACCAGGACAGGGAGAGAACTAGGATAGGGACAGAGCAAAAGCTGCATAGAGCGAGGCGTGGTCTGATGGAGGGATTGGAGGGAGGGTGCCAGCCTCAGAGCCCGGTTATCTCAAGACAGGGAGAGGCTGGGCCTAGGCTCTTGGGAAAATGGTGCTGCTGCTGTGAGAGAAGAGAAGCTCCCTGCCCCACTGGCCCTCTCTTGAGTCCTCGTCTGGGCAGACTTCCTGACCCAGAGCTCGTTAGGAAGAATCACTGGGTACTGCAGAGCCTCTGTAGGGAAGTGGGCAGGGGGACGGGGGGCAGGGGAGTGGGG